TACAGCTTTCCCTGGGGAAGTAATGGTGGGAATGAAGTGAAAGTATTTGAAGTATATTTTGGAGGTAGGAATGTCAAAACTTGCCGATGGCTTAGATATGAGGTTTCAGAGCAAATTCTAATATTTTCTCATTTGAACAACAAAACAGAGATCATTTTCTAAGACTAGGAAGATGGATGTTGGAGGAGGTGGAATCTCCTTCATCACCTTTGCTCTATGTGCCACCAGCCTTAAGCATGGCTTACTGATACGGGGCTTACTTTCTTAATAATTCAGTAGGGAGGCTGCTGAGTTTTCCTGTTGCAGGTTATCCGTGATCCCCTAAAAATACATTTCCCTGGCCCGACATGGTGCTTGAGCTAAGGTTCTGATCAGAAGTGGTATGGTGATACTGTCATTTCCCTTACTTCACACATCATAGAATGGATTCCCAAGTACTTCCCTCTTAACTAAAAGATTTCAGTCTCTTATCACTCATGTTTTTAAATCACATCATGTATTCCATTATAAGATAGATTGTGCCCAACTGCAACATGTGTTTCTATTTGACTTCATCCGCTTAATCTGCTTCACTCTGCTGGTACTACTCTAGATGTCTGCTTGGTATGGACTGATTTTGTTCTTTTACACCATCTCATCTGAAAATATGAAAAACATTTCTTTCACATTTGATTAAAATCATTCATATAAGTATTCCCAGAATTGGGTGGCCCCGATCCACGTATCGTGACAGAGAGGTCTCCCTGTGAGGTGGCATCATTTTGTTAATACTCCCTCTTTACCATGTGGTCACTCAGCATCGTTGATCTCTACTAAATCGTAATGTCTTTTCATAATTACTGAAAGATTTTATCTCTCAGAATGGTGAATGCAGTTTATCATACCAAGGATTTGAACCTGAATTAATTTTGACCCTGTTAAAGATGAAATTTTATCTGCTATGATTAGTTTTTTAGTCAACAAACTATTCCTTGATCATTATTCCATTTCTAAACCCTACTAAACATCCTTCAAATATTTTCTACAATTATTGAGGACCAGTGTTAAGTCGAAGGTACTGTAGTTAATAAAACACCCTTTGTTCCTAGAAATTAGATCTTTTATTAGATCATTCCCAGTCTTCCAATAACTTTTCCTTCTTTATAATCTCAAAGATCAATCAACAAGCGTGCACATTTTTTCATTTAATTTTTGTGCTACCCGTAACAGTAGAACTCATTTTCCTTGCCTCTCAGCTCACGTGGAGCTTTACAGTTTCTGACCATCTTTCTAAAGATTTGTCGCCTGGCATGTATGTCCCCTTTTATAAAAAGCAAGGGGGAAAAATTATTTTAATAGGTGACAAACAGCGACAAGCAGATAACATGAAACAGGATAAATGGAAGAAGAGAAGAAAAAGGCATTTCTGAAAGGAACCATCTACTTAAGTTCTGGCCCTTTAAATTTCATGATTCTAAATATTAACTTTGTGATAGAGTCTGGGTATCTCAAAACTGATAGATATACTTGTTTGGTTTTCTTATTTCAGGGACACGAAGAGGAGTGATACTAGTAGCAATAGGAATGTTGAACATACTCATTATTTTATCATGGGTAGGATAAAAGTGAGATGTAAAGAAGAGAGAAATGACCCATTTCTGTGGTTCAAAGAGAATTTGAAGTGATTTTCAACAAGTGATGGATTACATTATTAGGAAGGAGACACAGAGGGAATTACCAAAATACAGTGAAATTCTTAGAAGTAGGAAGATAAACGAATGTAACTTAAAGAGGACTTACGAAAGAATGTTAAGTTGAAAAAACTTAGAGTTAATTCTTATAGCTTTGGTTACAAAATAGTGTTCTGCATTGCTTTTGTCATATTTGTTGAATAGAAAGAATTAGGCCTACGTGAAATAGAAGCAATATTATTTAAAATCATGTCATATTTTGATAATGTTTTGATATTTGAGTTATTAAATTATAATTATTCTTGGCAACTCTTAGCTATTTCTAAACATAAAGAGAATATGTGAGCTGAAACAGAACCTACTTGCTTGGATTTCTGTCAGAATATAGTGATTTTGTCATATAAAGAGCGAAAAGAAGTTGTCTTATGTAAGAGTGATGAGTAGAGGAATTTTCTTCTTCTCTTTTTCCAAGTCAGAGTCTCACTCTGTCACCCAGGCGTGGCATGCTCACGGCTACCACAGCCTTGACTCGTGGGGCTCAGGTGATCCTTTCACCTCAATTTTCCAAGCAGCTGGAACCACAGGCATGTGCCACCATGACCAGCCAATTGTTTGATTTATTGTAGAGACGATTTCTCACCAAGTTGCCCGGGCAGATCTCCGACTCCTGGGCTCAGGCAATCCTCTCACCTCCGCCTCCCAATAGCGCTCAGCTGAGTGAAGGACTTTTTAATGAAGAACTAACAACTGAGATTCAAACAACAACAAGAAACCACTGAGATTCATTTCAGAAGCGGATAATCTCTGGAACCTGCAATGAGCTTTTGAAAATCTTTGCCTTATGAGTTATTAGGAAGGAGACACAGAGAAGTTACCAAAATACAGCAAAATTCTTAGAAGTAGGAAGATACAGGAATGATGATGTAACTTAAGAGGACTTACAAAAGAATTTGAGATGGAAAACATTTCAGCTAGGATTGCACAGAGACAAATTATTTTCAATAAGTAAATTACAGTCTAGGATATTTAATTAAATATATCTCTATTGTGTAGTGTAGCAATTTGGGTAGAAAATTGTAAATACAAGGGACCAGGACACATATCCAAGTGTCTTTTCCAAATTGTTGAATAAAGGAGGTTTAAACAAGTGGATAAAACAAAGCAGTGGGGAAATGGGACAAATTCTCTATTTCAAACTTAGTTTTTGTTGTCAGCAACCATAGGCTGATTAACATTATTTTTATTTTATTTTATTTTTTTCTTTTGAGTTGGACTCTCACTCGGTCGCCCAGACTGGAGTGCAGTGGCCGCTCCCGGCCACTGCAGCCTCACCTGCTGGGCTCCGGCGATCCTTCCGCCTCAGCCTTCCGAGTAGCTGGAATTACAGGCATGCGCTACCATGCCCAGCTAATTTTTTTTTTTTTTTTTTTTATTGTAGAGATGAAGTCTCGCTGCCCAGGCGGGTCTCGAACCCGCGGGCTCAGGCAATCCACTCACCTCAGCCTCCCAAAGGCGCGGGATTACAGGCTGAGCCACTGAGCCCGGCTTTATTTTTATTTTTTTAAGAAGCAAGATCTCACTCTGTCGCCCAAGGCAGTGTCATAATCATGGATCACTGTGGCCTCAAGCTCCTGAGCTCAAGAGATCCTCCCTACTCATCCTCCCAAGTAGCTAGGATTGCAGGCATGCACCGCCACACCCAGCTAACTTTTTTTTTTTTCGTGTTTTGCAGAGACAAGTTCTCACTATGTTACCCAGGCTGGTCTTGAACTCTAGCCTCAAGTGAGACCCCCTGCCTTGTCCTCCCAAGTGCAGGGACTACAAGCATGGGCCACCATGCCCAGTCTCTTGTTTTTTATATTTTAATTTTTTTTTAATTAATTAATTTTTTTAGACATGGATGTCTTGCTGCTCCCAGCTCTATTTCAAGATTCTATCAACTATGAAAAATCAAAGACTTTATCTGACTTTCCTCTTTTGGAAAATGGTGCCATTCACCAAAACTAGGAATAAGTACTAGTAGATTTAGAGGAATAAATGATGACTTCAATTCTCTTGAGTCTGAGACGTCTGAGATTCCAAGGTGCAAGACCACAGCTGTGGTTGTTGTGATTGTCAAGTGAGTTAATATCTGTAAAGGGCTTAAAACAGTGGCAGGTGATAAGCACTATGTAGGTGTAATGTTCAAAATCAATCATCTCAGAAAGAAGATCTATCTGAAGATAAGTGTTTGCGAGTCTTCAGAATTTAGATCGGTGTTTCTCACTGAAGAAGATATCATATCCTAGGAAAGTTTTCCAGGATTTCCAAGATACAAACATATTACTCTTCACAAGGTTCTGAGTTTTTCCCTGTGGCAGAGACTGTTGGTTGCCTACCATATCTACCCTTTGCTTCTTTCATGGTAACAGGCCCCAGTTTTATCAGAAGCAACCACAAATCTAGCAAAAAGGCTGACGCGTTGCACATGGCCTTTTGTCATTGTCTCTTTCTTCCATCTTTTTTTATTTTTTATTTTAAAGATGCAGGGCACAATTCAGAATTAAGTTCTTTTGGACTCTATTAGCTATCTCGACTCGTGAAGAAACTCTGAGGCTAGAACCCACGCAGGTGCAGTGAGAGAGATGGCAAAATAATTCGAAAGAGCCAGGTCCCTGATGACCTGGGGAAACCTCCTGTAACCATCCTGGGTGAAATGTGAAGAAAGAAAGAGAGAACACAGTGTTGCCGGAACATTCCCCCCAGTTCACGGACCTTAAACAAGTGGCATTTGACATTTCCCTTATTCCCCACGGATCTCCTCGCCAATATCCTGCTCGTTATTTCTCCCACATGTGTCTGATCCATTTGTCTGTTTAAGACTTGTGATCATTCTGGCCCGGTGTCTCCCTCCCTTACCTCCTACGTTCCTGTCCCTCCTTCTCCCCATCCCCAAGAGATCGCCTTTTAGTGTTCTGTGAAATAATTCTGTCCCTCCCTTTCTTATCTTAATCTTCCTGCTGGCGTTCTGGGCAGCACTCTCTTGTTTCTCCTTGTTTATTCCTTACTTTTCTTTCCCACGTGTTCCTCTTGTCACGGCACCCTCCTGGCAGCTCCTCTGTTGGATCAATCTCTCTTCTGGCACAGTACAAGGTACATCATGAACTGTCTAAATGTAAACAGTTGATCTAAAGTATGCACAGCGAAGCTCTTCGTTTTCTTCGTAACTGCCTACCTTTCTTGTGTTTTAAATGAAAACCAATTGTGATAACATAATACACATGAGAGCATGTTGAGCACGCTAACAGATGAGCTATTATCATTGTCATGGCTTTTATTTTATTTTCACAGAATATGTATTCTCCTGTTGAGTCAAAAGATTATAGTGAACACAGAAGACACGTTTTCCCTATTTTATATCAATTAAAACCAGAAGATATTGGCATGATATCAAAAAAATCAATGCATCTCATCCAAAAAGGTTAGTTATATACAATTTCGATTTTATTTAATATAATATGTTGAGGAAGAGTAAATAATATTAGAAATTGGGCATGTTAATTTTAAATTATAAATATATTTTAAGAGTCCATAGAATATGTTAAGACTTCTAGATAAAATATCCATATCTTATTCAATATTTTAAAAATCTGCATGCATTTTATAGATATTAAGAACCTGATTTGGGTAGAAGTTGGGAATTAGGAGAAGTTGGTGTTAGTAAGAATCATATTGAATTGATAACATTGTTACTGTATGACTATGTCAGCATTATATCTCCTTCAGGAAATTTATCAGATTCATTATTATAAATTATTTAAAGTAAAAAAGATTAAATTTTTTTCAGACTTTATTTTTTTTTATGGTTAATGAAATTTTGATTATAAATGTGTACTTGTATTTTCACAGAACTTATTCTGATAAAATTTTATGTTATAATTAAACGTTTTTTTCTTTGTCTTTCACAGAAGAATCATAAAGTCATTTTTGTAAAATCATTTGAAAGTTTTATCAATTTTCCCAAAGCCTTCTCTTAATTTTTAAATATTCAAATCTTTCTCTTTTTAAAAACCCGTGGTAGTGTTGTTAATTTCTTCTTCTTTGCATATTAAATGGTAAAATTCTGCCAGATTCTCAATTGTCAGGGATTTTCATTTATGTCATTAGTTCTCCATTATTTTCATGTTCTATATGTATTTCATGAAGCTCTATATCTTTTATGTAAGTATAATTTTATTGTTATACAACTTTTAAACTTGTAGGCTTATAAACCAAAATGGAATGGAAGAGCAAATATTAGTTCGATGTCCCATGCCTCCTCACTCATTCTTCCTGCAACGCTAAGGCAATTTTATTTAGTAATTTCAACTGACTCTTCTGTTATTTAATTTTATGTTTCTAAACTATACGCGTACTCTGCTAAAATGTATTCTTCAAATTTTGATTAAATTCTAATACACAATTCCCTCCAGCTCCCAACCCCTGGCAACCACCATTCTTTCTGTTTCGAGAATTTGATTTGAGGTATCTCATATGAACAGAATCATGCCTATTTGTCCCTGTGTGATTGGCTTGTTTCACTTAGCATAATGTTTTCAAGATTCCTCTATGCTATAGTATATGTCTGAATTTTCTTCCTTTTTACGGCTAAGTAATATTCTATTGTATATGTCTACCACATCTGCATATCCATTTGTCAGCGGACACTTGGATTGCTTTCCCATTTTAGCTGTTGTGAGTAATGCTGTTGGATGTACAAAGATCTCTTTGAGAATCTGCTTTCAGTGAGTTGTTTTGGTAATAACTGGAGGTGGAATTTCTGGATCATGTGGTAACTCTGCTTTCAATTTTCTGAGCAACTGCCATACTGTTTTCCGTAGCAGATGTACAATTTGCACAAGTTGCTCCACCCTCTGGTCAACACTTGTTATTTTCTGTTTGTTTGTTTAAATAATACCCTCTACTAATAGGTAGAGGTGGTATTTCATTGTGGTTTTTACTTGCGTTTCCGCAATGATTAGTGATGTTAAGCATCTTCATCTTTTTATATACTTAATTGGTTATTGGAATATGTTACTCAGAGAAATGTCTATTCAAACCAGGAGCCCATTTCCTAATTGGGTTGTTTGTATTTTTGTTGTTGAGTTATAGAGTTTCTTTATATATTTTGGATATGAATTCCTCGTCAGAAATGTGATTTGCAAATATTTTCTCCATTTCTATGAATTGCTTTTTCATGCTTTTGATAGTGGTGTCCTTTGCACACAAAAGTTTTTTGGTTTTTTTTTAATTTCGATGAAGTCAAACTTATTTATTGTTTTCTTTTTCGATGAAGTCAAACTTATTTATAGTTTTCTTTTGTTGTCTGCACTTTTTGTATCATATTCCAAAAATCATTGAAAATGTCAATGTCAGGAAATTTTTCCTCTATGTTTTCTCCTAAGAGTTTTAGAGTTTTAATTCTTTTGTTTCGATCTTTGATCCATGTTGAGCTAATTTTTTGGATACAATATAAAGTAAGTATACAGTGTAATTCATATTAATGTTTAGTTTTCTGAATACCTTTTGTTGAAAAGACTGTCCATTTCCCATTGAATGATCTTGAAAGACTTGTTGAAAATAATTTGACCATATATGCAAGAATGTATATCTGGACTCTATTCTATTCTATGGGTCTATAAGTTTCTCATTATGCTGCACACTATTTTGATGACTATAATTTTGAAGCACATTTTGAAATCTGGATGTGTGAAAACTCTATGTTCTTCCTTTCAATATTTTTTGGCTGTATCTAGTCCCTTGAAATTCCATATAAATTTTAAGATGAATTTTATTTCCACAAAATGCCATTGGAATTTTGATCAAGGATACATTGAATTTGTAGATCATATTGGGTAGTATTTAACAATATTAAATTTTTCTAATCCATGAACATGGGATTTCTTTTTATTTATTTTTGTCTTCTTTAATTTCTTTCAGCAACATATTGTAAGTTTTTTGTTATATATATCTTTGGTCTCCTTAGTTATGTTTATTTCTAAATATTTATTCTTTTTATACTACTGTAAATGAATTTTAAAAATTTTCTTTTAGAATTGTCCATTGTTACTTTATGGAAACATAGGTGCTACTTGTGGGTTAGTTTTGTAACCAGAACCTTTGCTGAGTTTATTAATTCTAACAATTTTCTTTGTGTGTGTATAACATGTAGGGTTTTCTACATGTAGGTTTATGTTCTCTGTAAACAAAGATAGTATTTCTTCTCCCTTTTCATTTGCATGTATTTCATCTCTTTTTCTAGCTTAATTGCTTTGACTAGAACAACTGAGTATTTTATGAAATAAAAGTGATTAAAGTAGGCATTTTGTTTTATTCCTAATATTAGAGAAAAATGTTTAGTCTTTTACAACTAAATATGATTTTATCTGTGTTTTTTTTCTATGGCCCTAATTATATTGAGATAATTTCTATTTATATTTCTTATCTATTGAGTGATTTTATTATGAAAGAGTGTTGAATTGCATGAATTCATTTTCTGCATTGATTGATATGACCATGTAAGTGACCATGTAAGTGTGTGTGTGTGTGCGTGTGTATGTGTGTGTGTGTGTGTGTTTCTCCTTTATTCTGTTAATGTGATGCATTACATTGATTGATATTTATGTGTTTTACTGTCTTTGCATTTAGGGAAGAAATCTGACTTGGTCTAGATTATGAACCTTTTCATATACAGTTTGCTAGTGTTTTGTTGAGCATTGTGGGTCAATATTAATAATAGATGTTTGCAGTTTTTTTTTTTCTTATAGCATCTTTATCTGGCTTTGGTGTCAGAAAAATATGACCTTATAGCAGGAGTTAGCAGATATTCTCAATTTTTTGAAAGAGTTTGAGAAAGATTGATGTTAATTATTTTTAAAATGTTCAGTAAACGTTAACAGTGAAGCCTTCTTGAACTTTTCTTTGTTAGGAGGTTTTTTATTATTTATTTGATATTCTTGCTAACAATAGATCTTTTCAGATTCTATTTCTTCATGATTCAATATTGATAGGTTGTGCGTTCCTAGGAATTTGTACATTTTGCATAAGTTATTCAATTTATTGGCATAGTACTCTTTTACAATCCGTGTTAGTTCTGTAAAATCATAGTAATGTCTCTTCTTTCATTTCTGATTCTAATTTTTTGTGGCTTCTCTCTTTTTTAGTAATTTTAGTGAAAGTCTTGTCAAATTTGTTAATCTTTTTAAAAAACAAACTAATTGATTTTCTATTTTATTTTTCTATTCTCTTTTTTAAATGTGTGTTGTAATTTTTATTTTGTCTTTCATTTTGCTAGCTTTGTGTTTAGTTTTTTATTCTAGTTACTTCAGGTAAAATTTGTTTTATTATTTGCTTTAATGTGAACACCTACATCTTACACTTCTCTGTTAGCATTGATTTTGTTGCATCCCATAAATTTTGGTAAGTTGTTCTTTTGATTTCATTTGTCTCCAGATATTTTTACTGTGTTTTGCAATTTATTCTTTAACCTATTTGTTGATTAAGAATGTGTTATTTAATTTCTACATATATGTGCATTTTTTAGTTTGCCTTCTGCTGTTGAGGTCTACTTTCATTCCACTGTGATTTTAAAAGATACCTAGGTTGGGCATGGTGGCATGTGCCTGTAGTCCCAACTATTTGAAATGCTGAGAGGGGAGGATCACTTGAGCCCAGGAGTTCCAGGCCAGCCTGGGCAAAATAACATGACCTTCATCTTTACAAAAAAAAAGAAAAGAAAAAAGAAAAAAGGGTATGATTCAGTCTTTTTAAATGTATTAAGACTTGCTTTATGGCTTAACAACACGGTATATTCTAGATAATGTCCCATGTGAGCTTGAGGAAAATGTATGTCTGCTGCTGGTGGGCTGTTTGGTCCTATTGGTTCATATGTTGTTCAAGTCCTCTGTCTCCTTCATGATCTTCAGTCTGGTTGTTCTATTCATTATTGAGTGTGGTGTATTGATGTCTCCTAAAATTATTGCAGTGCTGAATATTTCTGTTTTCAAGTCTATTAACGTTTACTTCACTTACTTTGTGTCTCTCATGTTCAGTGCACACATGAAGATATGATATAATCATTATATCTTCTTAGTGAAGTGACCGTTTTCTCAATCAAACAATGTCCTTTTTTGTCTTTTTCTTCTCAAGTTTACAAATTAAAGTGTTAATCTTATCCACAAAATACATATATGAAACATCTAGAATATAATGTGTGATAAATATCTGAGGACCATGGCCTATCCAAGTTGATATATGAACTTACCTGTCACAGTCAGTGTTGCCAGATACAGAATTTTCGGTTGATTGTTTATTTTTTTTTTAATTTGCATGTGTTTTTTTCATCATTCCAAACATATAATTTCACTGCATTCTGGCCTATGAAGTTTCTGCCATGATCTCTGATGTAGCTTTTATTGGCAACCAGTTGTATATAATAAATCA